TGAGAACATTCTTCCACAACCGAGCTGAGAGTTCTTGAGAATGGACTTGTGTAAATGACTCTTAGTAAACAACCTGTAGCCATCTGGCTTTCAACTGTAACCCTCCCAAGTCATGGTGGAAAATGCAGTTTCTAAACAATGAAAAAACTGGAGAAAAACCAGCGATCAAATGCTATTTCAGTACGCAGATAATAAAACTAATTCAGTATCTTTTCACTCACGAAGGAGTAAGTAAACATTACATAATTTTTACATGAGATTACAGACCCTGAAAAAGGGATATTGAAGCAAAACCATGGTTAAGTAGCTCGCTTTAATACTGTACATTTTTCTTTGTAAAATAAACATTTACTCCCTATAAAGCTGCCCAATGATGAAAAAGAAGCACTAAGCAATAAACCAAAATGTTTGCAAAGCCACGGAGAGCTATCATACACTGGCAAACGTGCTGTGATGCGGTGCCCTGGCAGCTGGCACGGCGGCGATGGGAAATGCTGTGTGGGTCACTCGAGTCCCACCCACGTAGAAATCAAATTAAATTTCACATGACTTCTACGCCAACTGTGTTTTAATACAGCAGTACTGTGGGTGACAGACATGGCTTAGCCACACTATGGCCTGATTTAAGAAAAATAAAGCCCATGCTTCAGAGCATTATCTCCTGAGAAACAGTTCCTTTAAACAGTATCAGAAAGAACCTGCCTTTACTTCTGAGGGTCTAGTAGCGCTCACACCCACAGCTCAACAGTGACAGGAATAGAAAGTTCTTTCCCTTTGCACAAACAAGGAATTCATGACGGGGTTATTATTTTTTCCATATGGAAACCAGATCGGTATTTTTAAAATGCATCTGCCTCAGAAACTTAGACAAAATAAGAATGGGGTGCCAAAGTCATGTGGGTACTTGAAATAGAGAACTTCACAATGCTGGAAGACTTACTCAAACGCAAAAAACAGAATACCAAAGGAGGCCAAGTCAATACAATCAGATCTGCTAAGAATTTGGAAGTCTGTGTTCTTGCTCTAAACATGGAGGAGTCCACGGCTGCTCACTACCCAGAAATGCACAAAGAGAAAAACAGCCTGCCTCGTAATTTCTCCCGGTCAACCTAAGAGTTGAGGCAAGCCGCACAAGTTTCAACAGCTCTGAAGAGTTTCTACACAGGCTCTTGGAAAGAAAATAGGAATTTTCCAAACCTACCCTCCCGGTCTACAAGCAGCACAAAGAAAACAAACCCTGACTCTTCCAGAAGCCTCTGACTGCTGTCACGGGGGCATCGCTCACTCCTGGCTCCCTGAGGACCACCCACGCCCCGGAGGCCCTGCACCACGCCTTCCCCCGGCAGGCCTCCTACAGCAGCAAAGGTCCCCAACACGTCTCACCACTGACCTTCCACCGGCAGGAGCAGCGCAAGGGACGGGGCCCGCCAACCCCC